GACATGTAGTTTAGAATTAGAAGCCAACTTAGTTAAAAAGTCCAAAAGCCTTTCCACCCCAGCTGCAGTTACACTGCTCCAGAGGCCTTCGGAAGGTATCGCTACAAGCGTTTAATCTCACTTGTCTGTTCTGGTTGTTTGTACTCTTCAATTACGTCAGCCACGGCAGTATGAACAGCACAGGTAAACCAGCCTTAAGTCATGCCTATCAAATAAAAAGCTTTTCTACTTAAAGATTAATGTAAGAAATCAATGTGCTTCCAGTGCGTGCCAGCAGATGATCTAACCCCGTCTTAAGCAGGCTCAGAAAATCCACATAATGGTGATACAAAATCTATGAGTGGTTAATGCTGAGAGTGTCTGTCTGCTTCCAGAGCGCTTCCAATGCCGGTTCATGAGCTGGCTACCAGATGTGCTCCTCTTTTCCCTGAAGGCCATCACGAGGACTGCTATTTCATTCTCAAACCTCAACAGGCAGTGAGTGTTGTGACAATACAGAGCCTACTCTCTAGCATATGTCTCTTGCATGACACCACATTCATTTGAATATGTTATTATGCTGAAGGGAATAAACTGACCACTTAACAGGAAGGGATGAATCTCTCTAGCTATCAAAACCAAGCAGCTTAACAAGAACGCTGTCAGAACAGCATCCAAAAATGAAAGGGCAGTTTTCTACTAAGGGTAGAAGATAGCCACATGCAGGAACGGCTCTCTTGCTACAGTAATGGCTATTGACATCCACACATAAATACTCCCTGACATAAAGCAAGATCAGATTAGACCATATTAAATGACATTTTCTTTTCTAATAGTTAAAGCAAACCAGGAAATAATGCTGCCTTGGGCAAGGTCATTGCTAAAAGGTATGGCAAGTGTGGATCACGGTGTGCGTAAGGTTGTGGGCTCCCCAGTGGCCCTGGTCAAGGACATGTTTGGAGTGTGCTTCCTTTCAAAGGACCAAGGGCACTGGGGAAAAGGAATGAGGATAGCAACAGGCATCCAGGTCTCACCCTGCCTTGAAGCTGTGACTTGGCTGTGACAGACACCAGGATAGGGCCCCAGAATCCTGCTGTCCACATACAGCCTTAATTGTCCTGAACTGCCTTTTAACAACAAAGTGACACCACTATTGTATTACCCTGTTATGACAGTATGAGCCTGAATCACTCAGTAAGTGCAAAAGAAATAGAAAATTAGCACTGATGTAATTAACTGTGTATGGCTCAACCTGGCAAAACCATCAGCCAAGCTGTGTAAAACATAAAACCCACAGAAAGGAGACGCGTGTTTTGTGCTCCTTCAAGAGCTGTGGAGTGAAACCTGTGGCTCAGTTTGGCATGTTATAACCCATCCAGAAGCAAATCCAAACTGCTTCTGACTGCAGACTTGGTTCTCATGGGCACTGAGATGCAGAAGCCGGTGAGATGTCAAAGACCTTGGATCTTAGTGTATTCAAGATTTATCTGCACCCCTATGCACATAAATGCCCTTTCAAAGCAAAAAATAACCCCGTGTGATTGAAGTCTGCATCAGTACAAATCCCAGGCTGGTTCAGACACACAAGAATGGAATGTATAATCACAATGCTCAGGATTCTCCTCAACTTTACTGAGGGCTGGGCTGAAGCTATTTTGAAAGAAGCAACTATATCTCCTTTAAGCACTAAGCATTCCTGGCAGTAGTAATTGCCTTGTAACTAACTCCTCATTAACACTCTCTCAGACCTGAATGACTGCGCTGACTTTCTGTTGCTCCTAGTCCAAGAACAGGATTAACATCTCAGCACCAAAGTCTGCTCTTAATTATACTGTTAAAGACACACACACACAAAAAGCCAATCAAATAAACGGAATAACTCTGGATTTACAGCAGTATGACTGAGATCAGAGTTCGTGCTATTGTTTCCCATCAAATCCATAATTTAGCTTGATAAAGCACAGTGTTCTATACATACCTTCTTTTAGCTGGGCAGACCACTTTTTATACCCATGGTGATAGATAACTATTTTAATGAATTTAATACTCTTATCTTAGTTCCTTATCCAGGAAAGAAAAGTAGTTTTGCAAATAAGAATATGGCACCTGCTTTGGATCAAATAAAAACATTAATGTGAAGAACAAGACCCTGAGTGATGCTGAGCAGCTGCAACTTCCACGAACTTTGTAGGAGTTGCAAGAACTCAAGATCTCCGTGGACGATATTTTAAGATATGATGCAAGGTCTTTTTCTGCTCTTTTATTTCAGTTTGTCATTTATGCAAAGGAAGATTCTAGATAAAAAACCTAAAGAAATCACCATGTGCAATCCAGATGCCTGAATGTTACTTTACGAAGCAAAACTTGCAGTGGCAATGCATGTAGAAGCTTGATCAAAGAGAGGTCATTAATCATGTACATACAGGTTGGATGAGGGGAAAAGGCCTGAGGAAAAACCACATGAAAAATCTTCATCACACAAGTACTTACGTTATTACTTCATAGCTTTTTATGGTCTTAAATCCAAGCAAAAAAAGAAATTATCTAGGGTGGTCTAGGGAATACAGCAAGGATATACAATGAGAGACTGAGGAAAGGGTAAATGAGGTTTTATAGCATTCCAGATTTCACTTGCAAGTGATGGAATGGCCATTAAGACCATTGGAATGATTTCTTGCATGGCAGAAAGTAGAAAGTCAAGAAAAGAAAGCAAGATAAGTATGTATGTTTTAGCAGAATTCTTACTAACTACTAAATTATTATTGGCTGCATACCAAACACTCCATGCAGTGATAAACAACTGTTCATTTTATTTCACTAAACAGAAAGCCCATTGAAAGATTTCTACTATTACTGCATTCACTGGAGCTCACTTGAAAAATACAGTTTTGGACATACATCAAGTACAACTTACAGCTGAATAACTGCAGTGGTCTAACTTACTTTCCAAACATGTCAAGAAAATGTTCTGTTCTCCAGGCAAGAGGAGAACAACAGAGCGAAGCAGCACACTAACTACAGGTATGAGACATTCCCCGAGGCTCAGAAATAGCTTCTCTAGTTAATTGCTGAGATTTCAGCAACTGGCCTTGCTTTCAGGATAACCGGGAGTGGGGGTGGTTTCACATACAGTCCCTCTTTTTTGGTGGCAAGCCAGCAAAAACAGTAGGAATTCCCATATCCTGCCTTGCCACCAAAAAAGGTACGTTTTCAACAGCTGTGTCAGCACAGCAGTATGTAAGGCCACACAGTAAACTGGAAAAACGAACTGATCTCAGTTAAAAAAACGTGTTGCTAAAAACGGTGCTGCTTTTAATCCCAGCACTGGTTTGATCCCCAGTGCAGTTACAAACAACTGTGGCAGTGCAATGCGAGGCCGTAGGTGGTGGTGGCAGTGGCAGGGAAGACAAAATCCTTAAGATCTGCAGCCAGGAACCAGCTATGCAGCACTGTGTATTAGGCTGTATATAACTGTCATAGTGACACATCACATTTTCCTCAGAGGCAAGGCCAATTACAAAATCCCTCTCTCTGTTCCTTGCCCTGGCTGCTGCAGTTTGTCACCTGCAAAGTTGTGCATATAGAGCAGTTTTAGAAGCTGCATCCTGAAATGGATCACAGAAATAATCTAGGTAAAGGAAAAAGAAATACCAAAATGGATTTGGATTTGTTTTTTAATCTTGCTTTGTTGCATTAGCTCAACTGCAGACATGGTGAATTACAGGGCTAATGACTGGACATTGGCAAGCTCCTAAGACAGCTCTGTATCAACACATAAAAGATCCTGAATGTTTAAGTCAAAACTAAAGTCCTCCAAAAAGCAACTCTAAAGTGCTTATGACGGGACAGCCCAAAACTGAGACTCTTTTTTCAGAAAGAATATCCTTGTCCCACTGGAAAACCTGAATCCAAATATGGTGAACAATGGTTCTATAAAAAGTTATACCTGTTGTGCTCCCCCACATCTTTTATTTTCACATATTTGCATCTTCTACATAAACTCTACCAAACACAATTCCCACTTTGTTGTTATAAATAGCTACCCAAAACCTAATGTAGTGAAGAAATAGTCCCTCGGTGCTTCCAGTGCTTGGGCTGATTGCTTTAGGCTCTGTCAATGCCTCTATCACCTGAATGAGATCTGTTGATTATCAGCATCTCTGAAAGACAACTCATATATATTTCTACAGCTGAGTTCTCAGACACACAAGCATCTAAACTTTGTGAGCTAATCTAGAAAGAAAAAAAAACCAGATTCTTAAATCTTTCCACTCTCCATAACCTCCACTCACTGGTGCAAAACCCTTTAACAGAATTGTTTAGGCCACATAACACCCACAAGTTGCAATTTATGAAGTTTGGCAGCCTAATCGCTGCAGACTTTTTCAGAGTTGATCCCCACAGTAACAATTATTTTCTGCTTTACTGACTCAGGGAAATTCATTCTAGTTTTTCTCCCCTTACCTCCCATCCACCCTTTTATTTCTATGCCACATTTCTTCGTTTTCTCTTGGGCCTATTGTGCCTTTTGTGGTCAAAAAAACCTCCAGCTATAATATTTCCCCATGTTGCTAGTGGAGACTGCAACAGCCTGCATAATTTGTCCCCTCACATGTAGATCTACCCTAAACCTTCCAGTTTATTTGTTTGGCCACACTGTTGAGGTTTGAGGCATTCAGTAAAACTAAATTGAAGTTGTGACTCATTATCAGGAGCTTTTGGGTTCTCAGTGTGTCCCCATGAAATAGAGAATAGAGACTGCAAGTTTTACGTGTTTATTGTCATCGCAGCAGTTACACAAGCTGTGTGACATGATCAGAGCTTAGCTCTGTGGCTGGCTACAAGCTTTGTGCTATGAAGGCACACAAATCACTTCAGGAAATGGAATTTTAAAATATAATGGGAGAAATCTTGGAATTTTTTTCCCCTCTCCCTCATTTCCCTTTTGAAATGAATTTTAGTAAGTTTTATGCAAATGCTTTACACACGCACACACACAACTGAAAAGCAGGGCTCCCTAAGACCTTATTTCATAATTTTATTTTATGCCGTTGAGCTGCATTCCCAAACCAGCAGCTTTAGTTCCAGTGCAATCCCTTCCTGAGCACCTCTCAGCCAGGACCAGGAAAACCTGCGAGGGCTCCTAAATACCCTTTTTGTTCCATACGAAGCCAACATCCAGCCTCAGAAAGGACCTCGCAGCCTGGGAAAACCCGGGAATTGATGCAGTTGCGAGCGCCAGCCGAGCTCACACAGCACCTCAGACACACGGCCCGGGGCCCTGCGCTCACCTCCCGTCATAACCTCCAGGCTCCACGCCGGTTCACCCGTGTGTCCGCCGCCTCCGTGGGCTGAAGGTGGGAGGCTGAGGCGGACAGAGCCCGCACCTGGCCTGGCCTGGCCGAGACCCGCAGGTCCGGCCCCGGGCAGCCGCTCCACCTGTGGCGGGGCTCGAACCTGCGACCCCGAGGCCGGCAGCCCTCCCGCTGCCGCCATGCCGCCGCGCCTCCAGGGGGCGCTGTGGCGACGAGCGCCGAGTCACGAGCATCGCGATTGGGCGGTGCTTTCCGCGGGCCAATGGAGGCGCCGTCTCACGCGGCCGCCCCCCCCTCCCCGCCCAGGGCGCCATCTTTCCGCGGCCGCGGGAGCGGAGTGGGCCCGGCCATGCCGCACTTCCAGGCCTGGGAGGAGTTCACCCGCGCCGCCGAGAAGCTCTACCTCGCCGACCCCATGAAGGTGGGACAGCCCGGGTCGCGAAGGGAGGAGCGCGTCCCGGCCGCGGGAGCGGCGCTCCGTATGCGGCCCCGGCTGCGCGCAGCTCGGCGGGGGCGGCGGGCGGTGTCGGGCTCGGGGGGGTTTCTGTGATGCAGGGCTGGTGAAGGCACGGGGGAGGCAGAAACACAGAATCACAGGATGAAGTAGGTTGGAAAAGACCTCTGAGATCATCGAGTCTAACCTATGGCCTAGCACACCACCACGTCAGCCAGACCATGGCACTCAGTGCCACGTCCAGTCTTTCCTTAAACACCTCCAGGGACGGTGACTCCACCATCTCACTGGGCAGCCCGTTCCAATGTCTAATCACCCTTTCTGTGAAGAAATTTCTTCTGATGTCCAACCTAAACCTCCCCTAGTGTAGCTCGAGGCCATGTCCTCCTGTCACTGGTTGCCTGGGAGAAGAGACCGACCCCCACCTGGCTACAGCCTCCTTTCAGGCAGCTGTAGAGAGCGATAAGGTCACCCTTGAGCGTTCTCCAGGCTGAACACCCCTGATTCCCTCAGCTGCACCTCGTAAGACTTGTGCTCCAGACCCTTCACAGGCGGTGTTGCCCTTCTGCGGACTCACTTCATCACATCAATGTCCTTCATGAGTTGAGGGACCCAGAACTGGGCACAGCTCTCGAGGTGTGGCCTTACCAGTGCTGAGTACAGGGGGAAAAGCAGCTCCAGGGACAGGTTACTTGCTGGTGTTGCACCTGACTGTCCTTTTCTACAAAACACGGGGCAGTTCTCGTTTATCACCCCAAAAACGTGTTTTGGGTGGTGGTGTCAGCAACTGGGATGAACCTTGAGAGCCTAACTTCAGAGCCATTGTGCTTATTCGCAGTGTACCTGTGTGATAGAAACCGAGGTTCAGTTCTGCTGGATGAAGAACGTATCGATAATTGGTTTTATGAGTTCACATTTAAGACTGTATCATTGGAATTTGTCTTCCTGAAACAGTTAAAAGAAAGCTTTCATTAGCTCTTACATTGTGTTGTTGCCTGCAGTGACGTTTCAGACTGGAAGGTGTTTGCTTCCCAAAGAGGAATTGCTCGAGGATTTAACTTCTTGGTGTATATGACTGCTTCTTGTTTTCAGTGGCTTTTTCTGGAGTACTGTTTTTATGTAAATATTAAAAGTAACCTCAGTCTTCAGAAAAGGCATTATAATTCAGCTACAAAGGAGCACAAAAATGTAATGTGGAATTCACACCTGAGAAAACTTCAGTAAAAAAGGCCTAGTTTCCTTCACCAAAAATAGGTGATGTGGAGTAACCTTCAGAAGATTAAATTAACATCTGATGATTTAAGGCATATGAACATATGCCTTTTAATTAGCACAGAGACACCATATGTGGTTGCCACCTATCTGTGATAATAACATTGCCCAGTTTTGCCTTCTTGTGCTCTGTGACATTTGATTAAGTGAAAGAGGAGGGACTCTGCAGCCAGGAGTTGCTCTTCCCCTTTTCTTAAAGGAAATCTCTTTTCATCCATGGCAATAAACTCATCTGTTTACAAAGGAGTTTATACGGGCCCCAGAATCATAACACAAGTACCCTCCTTTTAATTTGGCAAAGGATTAGCCTGAGGAGCTTTTGTATGTAATTGAGCTTGCTGGGAAACAGAAGGAAGAAGAGCTGGGGGAGGTGGGTGAGTGTTCTCCACCCAGGCAATAAGTGGTCTCGCCTTTGGGGAGAGCAAGTTCTCAGTGTATCAAGTCTATGCCTGCTGCTTGTGGCAGCCCTTCCTGTGTATTAGGGCCTGCTCAGCAGGGATGTGTGCTGTGGTCAGAAGGTGACAGCTTGTTAAACAAAAAGGGTACATCTGTGATGAGATCCATCCTGGAGCAGGAATTTCAAAATGTGTTTTACAGTGAAGGAGCTGGTTTACTATTAGCACGAGTCACTCTGTACAGCAAAGTCCTGTTTACAGTGTGAGTTCAGAATGTTCTCAAAGGCCACCTTGCTTTGTTTCCAGTTACTGGTGCTAGCTGAGGCTAGAAACAATAGATACAAAGTCACTATGGCTGTCTGTGCTCAAGAGGAACCATTTAATAGTCAGAATCTGAGGGTGTGGATTTTTATTGCTGTGGCTTTGGGAACTTTGGTGATTTGAGGGTCCAGAGGGACTGGGTAGGTTTGGACTCAGGGCAGATGGCTGCAGGAGGAACTGTGATAACAGTTCAGGTACTGTAGAAAAGTGGTGATGTTGAGCTTACCTCACTCAGTTAATCCCTTTCAGGTCTTCATGAAGAGCTACTTTTTTTTTTTTTAAGTATTTCAAGCTTATAAACACAAGCTTCCAGTTAGTTTTTCTGTAGTGCGATACATAGCGAGGGGGTGTCTTGTATCGACTGGCTCTCACAGTTTATCCTGCCTGTCACTGAGGTCTCTGCAACTGCCATTGCTGTTTTGACTGTGCTTTTGAATGTGCCCAGTGTTAACCTTGCTGATGCTGCTATAAAACCAGTTTAACGCTTTAGGCAGGGAAATGTGTTGGCTCGACTTCCACACCACCCTGGCTGTAGGATTAGTGGCCACCAGAGCTGAGGACCACCACAGAGGTGGTGAAAACAGGAAGTAGTACATAATTATAATAAAAGGTAGTCTGAATGTGGGCAGATTTCCTTCAGTATGTTCTGAAAATTGTTAGCTCTAGGTGCTAATTCTTGAAGTGTTTGTCATTTCAGGTGCGGGTTGTTCTGAAATACCGACATTGTGATGGGAACCTCTGCATCAAAGTAACAGATGACGTAGCTGTAAGTACAGAAACATTCCCCTTTCAGGGTTTGTTGTACTCTCATAGACTTGCATTTTGCTGTCAGTCAACTAGGAGCTCTTAGCCACTGCCTTGGGAGTGCCTGACAGTTTTCTAAAACCTTTTGCTCAGCCTTCCCTAGTTGCTGTGTTTGTGATTGACACTGAGCTGTGGTTCAACTCTGTGCAGTCCAGGAAAAGTTCTAACACTTCAGTGTTCTTTATGGATTTCAACAGAATTATTGTAGGATTCTGTCAGATCAAGGAAAATGAGCACTACAGAAATCTTGGACTCACTCCATCTGAACTTGCTTCGTGGAACAACATTGGTAACTTCTGCTGAAGCAATTCAGGAGCATTTTCAAACATATGTTTACTTGTGTGAGTGTGGGCCTTATTTGCTTAGAGTGGTGACAGCTTCCAACCACAGGTTCAGCTCCTTCTTTGTGATTTCAAGACTAACCAACAGTGGTGTCATAGCTGAGGAGCTGTTTTTCTGCAGTCCAGGGTGGGCAGCAGTATTCTGCCCTTCTCTTCAGACTTGGAAAAAATCAGGTTTCTTCTTTCCTTGAAAAGTAGTCTGGCATTGGTATTTCAAGTGCCTGGGAGGGATGTGAAACTACAGTAATGGCACTTCTTGGTAGGGTAATAGGACTTAATGTGGGAGAGATGTGGAGTGTGGGGTGCTGATAACAGGGCAAAGTGAAGGGCAATTTTGCTGAAACCTTCCATAGGGGAAGTAGGAGTCAGGTGATTCACAAATGTGAACTCTTTTGGGGTATATATAAGGCTGCCTTACCTGCTTCCATTCACAGATGTTACACCAGGTGGGAGGAAATGGGGATTGGTTTTGTTTTTTTGGTTTGTTGTTTGTTTGTTTGTTTGTTTTTGTGGTGCCTTTGGCAGGTTTTTTTGTTGTTGACTTTTTTTAGGGGCGGGTTGCTTTGGTTTTTTTGTGTTTTGTTGTGGTTTTTTTTTTCTAAAGGTGGTAAAGGAAGTTTCCTCGATGCTCAATCTGTAGAACTAATATAGCTGAAGGACAAATAAACTGTTTCCTTCTGTCTTCCTCTGAATTAAAATAGGAATTCAATGCTGACAAAAGTCGCTGAAGAATGGAGTATTCTGGGTGGTTTTGGTTTTTTGCTACATCAGCCTGGGCAGTCATACTCATGCTGTACAGGTATAAGGAATTGCTTAGTCTCCAAGCAGAAAAACAAACTACCACAGTCTTTCTGTGATAAGTCACTGGCATATTACCCTTGTCCCTTGCTATTAAAGGCTTGTCACATGAAGGAGTTTCTTTTTATCCTAATCAGATGCTATGTTCCTTATTTAGGCTGTCTTAGAAACAGATCTTGCTTGAGGGAGGGGATCCCTTTCAGTGGGAAATACTATCTGATTTTATGTCCCTGGCAGTGTAACATTAAGGACCGTGAAAGGCAAAATGAACTTGCTTTCAGAATACAGAGAATAGGGAAGTAACTTCAGTTTTAAAATCTGGCTCTATGTTTAGACAACACAAAGAGGAGTGTCTTTAAAGACAGCTTTAAACCCCAATCTTTAACAGGTTTTTTGAGCTAGAAGAAATTAGTATAAATTATGAGCTTCCCTGTTTTCAAAGTGGAAGGCATGAATGTTTAGGAGAAACTGAAATGTGTATATTTTGAAACAGCGTAGATGTGTTGCTGCTTCCTCATGGTAACAACATGCCACAAATGAACATTTAAGTACTCTCCTCGTTTTGTGTGTTCTAAGCACAAATGTGTTGCAACTATAAACAAGATAAAACAGTTCAAGTGAAATCTGATACTCAGCAACTTTCTCTTGCAGTGTTTGCTGTACAGAACAGACCAGGCACAAGACGTAAAGAAGATCGAGAAATTCCACAGTCAGCTCATGCGGCTCATGGTGGCCAAGGAATCCCGCAGTGCTGCCATGGAAACAGACTGAAATGCTGAAAATAAAATGAGTACTCCGGTCATATTTCACTGGGAGAAAATGTCTCTTGGATTTGAACGAATACTGGGACAGGAGATGCTTTTATGTACTGAAGTGGACCGATGACGTGTCTGAAGCGTTTTCGCCCCTCAGGCTCCGCTTTGGAAAACTCGGAAAATAAATGCTTTCAGTTGAAAGCTTATATTTATTTTTGGGTATCAAACAAGCAGCTATTCTTACACATTAGGTATGCTAAGAAGACAAGTAAATATTTTAAATCTGCAGTATGTTAGTATGAATTTGATGGGCCACAAGCGTATCTCTGTAAAGATACTATAAAATTTCACATAGATTTCATTGTGTTCATACCTTATGCTGGTATATTCTTACAGTGAGACGGTTTATTAACCTAATACTGTAGCATGATGACTGGACTTAATAAATATTTACATAAATTATATTAATTGGTGGAGTTTAGAGGAACAGATGTTTTCTGAACTGAAATGATGAAATTGCCAATCTGTACTACCACAGTCACTAGCAACATTTTAGCTTTTAGTATTGCTCTTGATCATAAGTTGTGCAGCATTATCTGTGATGCAGTTTACAGAACTGTCACATTGGCTAAATAATGAAACTTCTGTTTTTAAAAATTAAAGTAGAACTTCACTTGAATATTGCTAGAGATGGGTGAGAAACTGAAAGGGTTTTTTTTCTGCTTATGCAAACACTGTTACTAAAAAAATAGTCAGTTGCTTTTTAACATACTTGAACTATTTTGTACTAGCAGGGGTACCTTTTCCCATCCTTGCTTCAGGCAGGATTGAAGTGTATCAGCAAGATAAATTCCAGAAGTTCTTACCTATTATGTTAATAGAAAGAAATCCAACCGAATGCTATCCAGATTCCCTAGTTTAGCAACTTGTTAATTGCATTTTCAAATGTTACATGTGGCAGATGGATGTCAGCCAACTGAATAAATGGATGAAAACCAGCTTAATAAATACTTAAATACCACTGTCAAAAATAGACCAATGCTCCTGTGGCTTAGACTTGTTTCTCATACTTACCTCTGGTAGGGTGATGGAAGCCTTAATTGTCTCTTGCAAAGGCTTTTTGCTTCACAACCCAGTAGCTAAAATTGATACTTGCTTTGACTACTTAAAACCAGATGAACATTTTCATGTAATGAGGCCATTGGTATAACTAGATGTTTTCAGAAGTAATGTTTTGGCTTAAACCAAGCCATGAAAGCAAAGCAGAGGCATACATGTAGTGGCACTTATATAAAACAAAACAATCTGCTTAAATAGCTACCTGCTGGCACTTACATAAAAATAATGGAGCTACTCAGAAGTAGTACTCCATGTGGAGTTTCCACATTTGCCAAAGGCTTGGAAAAAGCCCCAGGCTGGAATATTGCATTAGAGTACCCTTTTAGCTGAACGTAAAATGTTACACGTTGTTGGAAAACACTGCAGTGCTAAATTCACAGTGACTACTCAAGTTCTAGTCTACAGGAGTGACTGGTATGTATGTAACATTTTTGTATTGGCTTTTGAAATGCAAATAAATGCAGAGAGAAGGCTGGACTGTGTTCACTGTTAAACTTTTATTAAGGTACTATAATTCTGATTTTTTTTCCTTGATGGTCCAAATTACTTTCTTAACATTTTCGATATAGTATATGAAGTACTTTTGTCTAAAGCACTGTTCTGCAGTATAAGTGGTTGCTACACAAAGTCATAAAAGTGGAGCTGTTAAATTGGCAGATGAAAAGGCTGCAGCAATTCTAGTGTAACTTCTGGACCTGTCCTGTAAATTGGTTTGGCAGGTTAATGTGTGAGCTGAGGTAAGGAAGCCTTCAGTGGTATTGCTTCTGCACAGAGGATCAAATAGAGATGAGACTGTGGACAGACTTGGTGTACCAAGTGGCTGAAAAGCTTAAGCTTTATACTTAAGCAGGTTTCAGAGAGAGGCAATTACAATACTATTTAGCAAAACAGGCAAAGAAGTATATTTCTAGTTTTCTAAATTGAGAAATTATTTCCATAAAACCATAAGGAAATATTGATGCTACTTCTGTAAGAGTATGTGTTGTTAAGCTTGTTCTTCATATACTGACAGAAAAACTAGAGTGGTTCTGTGCCATCAGAATACACAAGAAAATATGATTAAGCTGCTACTTAAAAAAAAAAAAATGTTTTGGAAACTTCTTTAGGAACAGACAGGTGCTTCTTTACTTTGTCCTGGAATTTTCAGCAACTTCAGTACTGTGTTCATGGAGCAGTGGAGAAGCTCCAAACTCCAAGCTCTGTCTTTTCATGCTTAAACTGTTGTTGAGAGTGTGCTCGTGCTTTTGTACACGGATCGCTGTCCTAATAAACACTCAATGAGTTAGTCCAACTACTTGAATGTATCCCCTGGTATGTTATAAAAAAATCAGTTTAATGTGGCTGCTGCTCCGAAGGGGTGCTTGAATGCCTGTGTTGGGCAGCCCAGCATGTCAGCGAATGCTTCTGATCACCAGCCAGGAGCTGGTGCCAATTCCAGGCTGCAAACAGGCAGTGCTGGAGCAGATGGGCAACCTGTGCAGTGACAGACAGGTGACCTTGGCAGAAGTGAAAAGTTGTTGAAAAAAGTGGGACACTTTCCTCTGCTATAGCTCGTTTTGTTGCTGCATGTTAGTTAACTTCAGCAATTGTTCTGTTTTGTGGGGATAGTTTAATAAAAAGTACAAGCATTGTTATTGTGCAAAGGAATTGGGTTAGTTTACCCATGGAATTTTTTCTGTTTTTCTGGTGTTCTCATTTCCTGGATTCTCTGAGCATTTTGGTTTCAATTCTTCCTTTGTGCACGGTGCTTAAGCTGACTTTGTGTCTGAGCTCTCTCTTATGTGCAACTACACCACTTCTGTTTTCCATTTTAGGGTTTTCAACCTTGAGCTTCTCTGTATGCAGTCTGTTGTGGAAATGTATTCTGGATTACAGAAAGATTTAAAAATTATTTGTAGAAGTGAGAATTTGGTCTCAGGTCTTTTGTCTGAGAACCTTATGAAAGAGACCTTTCCAGTAAAGTCCTGACTTAACACTTTTAGGAGTCTGTCAAAATGGGAAATGGAACTGAAGCCAAGCAGGGGCTTTTAGAAGTGTTTTAACATGTCAAAATAATTATATTTCATCTCAGTAAGTTCCTTCCTGCAGTATAAAAGTGGGTAATATTCAACGTGAAGAAACCCTGGTTTCTGCCAGGTGTGGTCAGTAGGACTTGGATGATGACTTATTCCCATAGGCTGATCTTAAAGAATTAGGTCATCTGAAAAGTGTGTTTGCTTCCTGCTGCAGGCAGAATGAATCCCCTCACTTCAATTACCTGGAAGAAGGATGGCAACACAGTTACCCCCAATACACCTGGGCTTTTTTCTCTTCTGGCTTAGGGGAAGACAAAACTAAAACATGGAAATTATACTGTAACCACCTTTTAAATGAAGTTTGAGATCTGAATTGGATCAGATCTCCCCCCACCATAGCAAATAGATGGGTTTTTTTCTGTGAATTTAACTAGTGTGCAGATTATGCACGAGTCCAGTTTCTTTCAAGAGCCTGTGAGCATTAGCATGTGTCCTCAGGGAGGAGGGGCAGCTTAGCTGAAAACTATTTTTCTTTGTACAGAGCTCTGTGTTGAGGTAACTTCTAATTGACTGAAACAAAGCAATTTTGATCAAACAAATCTAAGGAGTCCTTTTGATAGATTACTTTCTTAAAGGTTCTTCACTTTTTTTTTTAATAGGAAACTAGTCTATGAAGAACTATATCAACTAGTCTATGAAGAACTATATCTAGTTTTTTGCTTAAGAGTGATTTGCTTTTCAAGAGATGGAGGTGTCTGTTCTGAAATGTCGACACTCCTTTAAAGGTGGATGCTGCATGACTCAGATGTTTGTTTATAAAGATACTATCTTTTAGGAAGGCTTTGAGAGTTCAAGGATTGTTTAAGTACTAGCAGAAGTCGAATTGTCTTTGTTGCTGGGGAGGACATAAAAACATGCCTTTCATCTCTTACTACTTTTACATAAGTCGATCTTTAGACTAATTAGACTCTTTAGACAGGCTTCCAGATAAACATCCCCACCATGATGCTGGGCTGAAGTATTTAATTTGAATCACTGCAGACTGGAGGCAGATGTGGGCTTTTTAGTCTATAGAAATATTATTTTTGAGATAAGAATGATGCCACAGTATTTTAGAAGCAGATTAGTTACTCGGCAGAATACAAAGCATGGTAGTTTGTTAGCCCCTGCTTACTATGCAAACCTGTGTATGTGTGTCCTGTAACTATTCTACCGGACTAAATGCCCTCAGGAGAATGTGGGCTTAAATTGGACCATGTGAAACTGAAGTCTGTGGGAACTGAACAAATAAAAGCATGGTCATACCACGAGAGCAGAATTAACTGCCTTCATGCAAGTACAGGCCCATGTCTATGTTGAACATAGTCTTTGTTCCTGGTGAGGATATAAGTCCTTATTTTCTTACACTGTGCCAAAGTTAGTTATAGGGGTGTGTTCTCGGAGTCCTGTAATGGGAACGCAATTACTCTCTGCCATTCTAAAAGCATCTTAAGTTCTGAGTGCCATCTCTGAGTGCCCTTACGTGGAAATGGCCAATCTTCTAGCAAAAACCAGTGTACTCGACCCATTATTACTCCTCAGACAGTTTCTAGGTGTTGTGAATATCGGTATTATAAAACTAAGAGTATAGTGTTTCTCTTAAACTGCACAATACGTTGGTATTTCTGAAAGTGTTTTCTATTTAAATCAAGACCAGCTCTGATGATATTTTGCTTTTTTAGCAAGTTTTGATTTTGTGCTCACATTCTTCTGTCTCTCTTTTTTTTTTTTTCTTTTTGTGGTAAGTCTGACTAATTTCTTTTGGAACTTAAAATATCAGGCATACCGAGAGGTCCAGGACAGATTGATCTTTTTATTTCCTTTGAAGTTGTATTTGCCTGCTGGGTTCATTTTTTGTCTAGAAGAAGTGATATCTGTTCATTAAAGGACTAGTCTGCATTGTTCTGCTTCTACTGAGCAGAACCTTTTTGAGTACAGGCAAGTGTTTATAGCAAGATTTCAAAGACTGGTTTTGGGGAGAGGGGTTTGAGTTTTCTGAACACCTAGTGAATGGCTGTGCTAGCTGGTAGTGAGCAAAGGAGAGTTTGCTGGTGCTTTGGCTAGCAAAAATATGCATTTTAACAGGATTGCTCATGCATGTAAATACAGCCACCTCTAATGCAGTTCTGCTATCATTATGTGGCTGAAAGATGAAAGGCTTGCCTCAGGGCGCTGACAAATGAGCTCTGGCAAACGGTGTGGCTTAAAGATGTTACTTTCCAAAGGCATCTGCTCCGTTAAGGAGTCAGCAGGCAGGAGGGTGAACTAATGCCTCAGACATGCCCGTGTGAAATTCAGTGTCTTATTTTAAATTAACTTAAAAGATAGTTTTTGAATTTGGGGTCAGGAGGGAAACTGACCTTTTCAATGAGTGATTGTCAGCTGGGGAGGTGTTATTTATTTTTTGAGCACATTTTCTGTGGCAGTGCTACCATATAGCTGAGGGCAGTAACCGAAGAAATAAACAAGTTTCATCGGGGATTGTTCGTTTGTGCCCAGAGGCAAACCTTCTGTGCTTGGTCACACAGCAGACCCAGGTAACACGTGAGTAAAAACGTGCAAATGACCAACCATAATTTTTAGCAGAGCAAACAGCTGCTTTGCAAATAGTTTCATAACCACTGCAGATGTTGATCATCTAATAAATGTGCAGACTGGGATTCCACACCAGCCTTGGTCAGTATAACAGCTGGCTCCTGATTCCTCTTTCCCCTTGCATGGATTCCAGTGTGCCTCAGAGCCTCAGCTGAACCATTTCTATTTACCAGTGCATCAGAAAACTCCTCCGTGTTCTGGGGAGCTGCTGGTTTGGTATTCTGCCTGGTTAGTGTGCTGAGATGGCTTCACAAAAGGTCAACTGAGTGCTGCAGGGAGTGAATGTTGAGAGCTCCCAAGAGGGGTGAGGAGAATGATGGGAGTAAAAGAACCAGCAGTTAGATTGGCTTAGGCTGCCATGGAACCACAACCTAAATAACTTGCACTTCAGAGTTTCTCTCGCTTGTAAAAACCTCCCATCTGACCCATTACATACCCTGTAATGTTCATGCTATACAATATTAACCTAAAAACTAGGTATATCTGAATTTGTTTCTGTGTTGTTCTAGTTGGTATGGATGATACAGAAAGTGTGGAACCAAAGGTTGTAGATTTTATTCTTCCTAAAAGCCTTTAGCACTCTGGTAGTCTCTCAAACAGAGTAGCCACAACTGAACACGATACAAGGTGGAAATTATATCATGGATTTATCAAACCGAGTTTTAATTCTTAACATTCTTAAAGTGCCGATGTTGGGGCAGGGGTTTGAGAAGGGATCAGCATGTTTAAAGGCTTAAGTGATTCCAACAGTAATGGTTCAGTGAGCTGTAGCTGCTCCAAACCTATAAATTCTTAAGATGCCTCCAGAATACATCCAGGTGGCCAACCCTTGAAACACAAATCCTGAAACA